AGGGGAAGTGGATGGATGGACAGATGAATACTGAGATCAAATGGACAGAATTATTATATAGAAAGGCAGAGGAAAAACACATTCAAAAAATTATGAAAAACTTTCTTTCATTTTGAACCCCTTTATTAGTCCATTTCTGGCATTCCCTGTCCATTTCTGTCAGGGAATGTCAACAAATGAGACTGCGTATGAGGGGGCGTTCCCCTCGTAAGCCTCAGTAAGAGAACATTCTGACAAGTCATTTGGAAGGGAGAGGAGGGAATCAAAGAAGGCAAGAGGACCACCAAATCCCAACGCCAAGCAACATCAAACCATGTGGCCGTTTCTCCTTTTATGAGTTTGGTTGGAGTTATGGATGAGTGACAATCAATCAATCAATATTTTGCAACAATATAACACAAAATGCCTTATAGTTAATTGAAAACAGGACCCAACAGACTCCAAACATACATGATTTTATGCAAATATACAGATTTTTTTTTTTTATTAACAAAAATCCAGCTAAAAAATGAGTGAGAATAAGTTAAGACTTTTAAATTCCCACCCCCTAATTATTTTTCTAAGTTAGAAAGAAAGATTTTTTAATGTATATAGCACATTTTTACAGATCAAGGTCACCCAAAGCACTTTACAAAGTTCAGTGTTCAGATATTGTTCCTTTCTCTCCACACACCGTGATGACAGAAGCGAAACACCGAACACACTGGCGCATCAAGGCCTGCAATCATCAGCACCATCTATTCACTCTCTCATTACATTCATACTTTTTGTGCATGTTTTTAGTGGTAGGGGAAACCGGAGCAATCAGAGGAAACCTACACAGACATGGAGAGAACACGCAAACTCCACTAAGAACGGTCCTGTTCCGACCGGGATTCGAACCCAGGACCTTCTAGCTTAAAGCTGCACTAACGGACTTTATTTTTGTATTCATTACGTAAATACTATCCATGTCCATGTAGTGCATTGGGATATACGTCCTTTTTTTTAAAAAAATAGCGCAGATTTGTGCTGGCGTGACATTATATTTTAGATCGAGTTTTGATGAAACAAGGAAGAGAATGTGTTTCGGGTCGCAGATTGTGACCAATCACAGCGGACCACTGGCCCCCACTTTCGTGATAAATCTACAGGTCTCCGTTAGCATAGACGGCTGAGTTAGCACAACAAGCGGCGGAGCTAACCTGAAGCTTCGTGTGTCTTCGTCACCGGGTACTGCTTACACAGCGAGACAGCCATCCAAAAGAAAGTCCCGTTCCTCCACGCTTCCCGGTTCTATCGTTCTATGGTCACGCCATCCACGTGAAAATCCATGTTCATGTATTTATCCATATTGGGAGACGCAAGCTCCGTCCCAACAGTGGGTGTGTGTGGGGGGCGATAGCTTCTTGGGTGCGGGGAGGGGAGCAGGAAGAGGCCAGCGGGTCCACGGCTTCAAAATCCCATGGTCAGTTAGTGCAGCTTTAACTTAACTTAAATGAAGTGGTTGGTGGACACAATGCATTACTATTACTATTAATGAATTATGAAAAAAGTCCATTAACCATATTATACTCACTTTGAATATCCTACAAGCAACCCACCAAACCCCTATTAAGAAAACTAGCTTCATATGGCAGCCGTGATATCATTTCAGTGGCTCTAAGCTTTCACTCAGCGTCATCATTATTGGATAGAGGGATGTAAGCTCTTAACGTGGAAGACGAAAACACTTTGGGTACAGCGGTCCGCCCGTCTCTCCATTAATCACAGCATGTAATTGTCGGCATCAATATGGACGAGCAGCTTCCCAAACACTGGAAGAAGCGGATAATTCCAAAGTGTCACTCCAGCACGCTTAATCATCCAACAACTTTTCTTCACAGATAAACAAAGACGTGTGCAGGAAGTGAAACCGATCAACGGGAAATAGGTCTGGGGAATATTAAGCAAAGTGGTGGATACACTTTGAATATAGAGTTCGTTTTAGGAAGGTAGGGCTGGATCAATATGTTCTGCAGATGGCTATGCAGAATCGTAAGCTGTAATGTCAAGGGAAAAATGTGTCATGTTGAGTAAAGATGAGATAATCTAATTTTGAGAAAATGCAGAGCAGAGTGACAGTTAACCAACATAGTATTATGGTAATGATTTCATGACCAGGGGTTTCAGCACTTTAACCAAGCCCCAACCGAGATCTACTTCAATAAACCAGTGATCTGCCTGTTTAAAGGAGCTATGTACCCGTTTCTGCAAGGTTTGAATTTTAGCATCGCTCACACATTTTCATGATAAAAATACTGTTTTAATGTGACAAAAAGCGATCGCAATCAACCCGGAAGTAACCATTTACATGAAACACATTTTAGGACACATTTGAAGAGGATCTGATTAGAGCTGCAACTAACGATTATTTTGTAAACGATTAATCTATCGATTATTTTTACGATTAATCGAGTAATCGCTTGGCTGTGAATTGTGTAGAAAAAAAAAATTCATCACAAAAAGCTAAAGTGGCAACACTCGAGGACGTATTGATGGCGTAAACTTAAAGTAAATGTTTGTAACAGGCTCTTTGTGCTAATTCTGCTCTGATTGGATGAGACAGACAGATATTCATGAAATTATAAAAACAAAGTCGGTTTTAATCAAAAATACTACATTTTCATGTCATTTTTGCTCTGTTTGAGTCCGTGTGAACCAGAAAACGATTAATCGATTACTAAAATAGTTGTTGACTATTTCAATAATCGATTAGTCGTCGATTAATCGATTAGTTGTTTCAGCCCTAGATCTGATTATGGATTTAGGTTCGGTATATAAATGGGTAACTCACCGCTGATGTTCACAATTCTTTGTTCAGTTTTCATGTAGTTCCAGAGTGTTTTTTAACTAGCTAGCTTAGCTGTTGCCTGCCTAGCACGTCACGGTGAAACATTCGGGAGCTAACTATTTTATTTGCAGTCATTAAATACATTTTGAATTATAAAGGCTGTCTAATATTCATTCAAATATATATTTTTATTTTTCAAATTATATTCGAATTTCACAGTCTACAGTAAGTAAGTAAGTAAGCTTTATTTATATACCGCCTTTTTCACTGCACATCGGAGTCTCAAAGGGGTCGCCAGTACAGGAGGCACATGCCAGACCTATTGTACATATTTTTAGTGGTAGGGGAAACCGGAGCACCCGGAGGAAACCTACGCAGACACGGGGAGAACATGCAAACTCCACTCAGAAAGGCCCTGGTCCAACCGGGATTCGAACCCAGGACCTTCTTGCTGAGAGGCGAGAGTGCTATCCACTCAGCCACCGTGCAGCCCTGTTTAGCAGCGCTGTAGAGGCTAGAGGACGCAGGCTGTTCGCTTCTCGACCTAAGTCGACACAGCACTTTTCACGGCATGAATTCATACACAAGCTGAATCAATGAGCTCAAGTTTTCAATTAAATTATGGATTATAATACAACTTGTATGTAGTAAAGAGAATTGTTATGAACTCATCAGAAAATAAATCGGGTATAGCATCTTTAAATAGGGGTGTACTGATTCAATATTGTAGTTTTGTTGGATTTGTGATGACATTCATATTGTGTTACCATTTTGCAGGCAAAAACATATACACAAGTAAGCTTAAATTATGAATAGAGGAGAATAGAATATTGTTATTGTCTATTATGTGTCAATACATTTGTAAAATTCAAAAACATGTTTTTTTGACATTCTTTTGAAAGAAAATTTGGATATATTACTTTGTCAACATGTTTCGCTTGCAGAGGTGTGAGCCATCTTCAGAACTGTCACCCGTCTCAAAGATGTGTAAGTTATATAAAGGTAAATACGGATGTAACATGTTAACGTTAAATTAAGTTAATATATTTAACTTGTTTTTCAAAAGAACCACAAAAACAAAAGATTAAATAGATTTTAAGTAAGTAGTTAAATTACTAGAAATTGTTGTTTTTATAGCGGGCTTTGTGTTTCTCATTTTGTAAACTGCTACAAGGCCATGTGTTTGTATTATGTGGTCTGGTGCAATGTTTTTTTCACTATTACCTGGAGACCCACGGTTCGTTTACTTCCGTCAGAGGCCAAAGTCTGAATGCCATATGAGCTGCCCACCCGGCCGATCGACACCTCAGGCACCATGCTTAATATCATTTAAAGCTTCTTGTAAAACATTGCACATGAGGTTTCTTGAGGAGACCGTATTCATATGAAGATACATTTCCGGGATTTCATTGTTTTGTTCATGCTTTTATTATGTTAATTTATCTGTATCAAAAACAAAATACTGTTTATATGGGGGTTCATCCTATAACATGAAACTGGCAAAATGTGTCTGAAGAAGTGAATGGATAAACAATACAACAAGCCCATTGTCAATACCAACTGTTTTTCATGATTTACTTTTTACTTACTCCTGTGGACTCACCACCTGCAGGAGGATCAGTGAGGGGCTGGTGCTAAGTGTACTGGGTGCAGCTCTGACTGCCACCCCCCCGAACCAGAAATGGATTAAGGGGAAGAAAATGGATGAATGGATGGATACTTTTAACTTACTGTACTTTTAACTTAAGTTTCTTTTTTATGTATTTATTGACTTCTGATGCTTTTTCTTTGTTTTGTTTGTTTGTGGTATTGTACAGTATATTAATCTGTAGCTTTTTGAGGTTTCCTGGAAATTTGAGATGGAATATAAATAAAAAATGTGTTATAATTACTACTGTGCTGCTTCTTTTTATGCTAGTTCTGTGTTGTGTGCTCCATATTCCTACTGCCTGTAACTTGTGACGCAACACTGAAACTTCCCCACTGTAACATGAATAAAGGGTCTCTTAATCTTAATCTTAATTGCTATGTAAACTATGAGTCAACCGTAATTTTTACCATAAGGATCATCTACTTTTCTCATGCAACACGGAAAATTGTATCACAATTCAACTATTGTGTGTTCAAGAGGCTGTCAAACTACCTTATGAAAACCCAAACGTTGGATGCAATCTCTCAGTCTGGATAGATGTCAAAACTTCTACTTCCGTTACAACCAAATAAAGGAAAGTTGGCGAACACTTTGACCGAGCAGCAGTGGTGCCCTTCATGCTGTCTGACCAATGAGAGCCAGTGGGTCTTCAGAGTCCCTGTCTATGGTCCATTTGGTGTTGGGCCACGGAGCGCCACCTCCCTGGGGACCTCCCTGGAGACGGCTGGACCTCTCTGTCTGGCCCCCACCCCGGCATCAGTGGGCGTCAGCGTGCCACCCAAGGGCGCGCCGCAGTTTAGTTGCAGCTGTCATGGTCTTGATCTGTTTTTGATGACCTCCAAGCACCACTCTCACTCGCGCCTCACTGCTTTCCTCCCAGGCTGACAGCTTGAATCCAATATGGTGGCCTTTGTGCGGAAGAGGGAACAGTTTCAAGAGAAAACAAAAGAAAAACTGCTATTTTCCCGCTATTTGTTAAATTATTCATTATGCTAATATGAACTCTGTTGACAAGATAATTTAATAGTTTATTTTATTCAAAGTAGACAGCAAACTTGTGGTGTTTACATGCAGCCATTCACTAGAAGTTAATAATACCCATGTGTCCAAAGAAAAGGAAAAAAACCCAAAACTGTCACTTACTGTCAGTTGTGCTACCAAAGCTCGACAACAATAAACTACATTGTACATGTACGTTTTAAAACACCTGTTACAAATTCGCATTAATGATCCCTAATCTACGTTTTCAAGACAACACATTTTTTAAACGTCAATCATCACTATCAGTTTTTGAAGATATTGCCAAGCTTTAGCAGGTTAAATGTATTTGGTAGGTTAGGGTTAATGGTAGGTAACGGGGCGGATTCACAGCAAAAGGTCCTGGGTTCAATTCTTCCTCCGGGTCTCTGCACACCAATCACCTTGAGCGCTGATGTCACTTTTAACTTCCAGGTTCTAGATAAAAACGTATATATATAAATAAACCGTAAAACATCAAGTCGTTGTCAGTCGCACTCAATGGTGATTACTCTCAGCATTGATTGGTGGGAGAAATTCAAACCTTGACGTCATTAGCTCTCTCTCTCTCTCTCTCTCTCTATTGAGCTTGTTAGTATCGTTAGTAAAGCCTTTTTACAAGAATCTGTTTAGTTAACAAAAAGCCAAGCTGTTGATGTTCGCACAACAAAGCACCATGTATTTTTAATATTCATTGATTCCCTTTACTCCCGTCTGCTGACTCTCCGATTACAAACGCTAATCCCTTTTCCCGTCACCTCCATCTTTCAAAACCGGCCCGGATGACTACGAGGCTTTCAAGCTTGCACGCATTAAGAAATGTGGGACCTTTTGCTTAGCTCACTGAAAATAATTTAAAAAATACTTTTCAAAGCAACAACAAAATAAATGAAAATCTGTATCTTGGAGGATTAAAAAAAACCTCATTTTTTTCTCACACTGACAGCTGCCATCTATTTATGTGGAAAAGCGGTTTACTTATGTGCACTGATGGATGTGATTTCAACAAAGCAAAGAGAAAAACATACTTCAGTTTCATTTTTGGAGTCTGCTCAAGACAGCTGTACTACGGTGTGCTGTTTGAACTTCACCTAAAAAGCTCCACTGTCCCCTGTGGCCTGGTGCTGGCGATAGCATTAATCCAACAACTGGAAGGGTATCGGTCTAGCTACGCTTTCCTCCTCTTTAATTATTGGAAGTCATTGGCAGAATTGGATCTTCTAAGTTTAAGATCAGCAGGTGAATCGCCACTGTGAATGCAAACAGACATTTTCCCTGTATTCCTGTTTTTTTTTTTCTTTTTATTGTGAGAATATAGACATACAATACAGGTGAATATGTACAAACAAAAAGCTTAAAACGAACAAAGATGCATATATTCACGTATGTGTGTAGGGGTGTGTGCGAGAGTGTGTAGTGTTGTGTATGTGGGTGAGGTAGTCATTTTAGTTTCTTGGTATTTAAACCGACAAATACCATCCTTTGTTGGCAAAAGGAAGCTGGGTACAATAGGTGTAACGAGTATTTAAAAGCATGTTCCTAGCTCTAAATAGAGTTTTTCACAGGCTTGATTTTTGGCCACCTTTAGATCAGCTCTTTCAAACTAAAAAGTGCAGTTGACTCACAGGGATCTTTCTTACAAGTTTGAAGAAAGCAACCAAAAGGGACAACCAGAAGAGGACCATGTTGTCACCCAAGATTTTATAAGCAAATAGTTCTTAGTTATTGATTTTATTGGATGGTGTGGTTGGCATCAATTTTGCCAATGGTTTTGAAAATTCTTTACATTCCAAGTCTGGCGGTGTACTAAAACCAAAACAATATACCAACTATTTAACACTGAATACACTGAAATAATAAACTAATCAATATGTTTACGGTACTTTTGAGTTATTCTTTCTGGGAAAGTGCTATTTATAAAAGGTGACAAACTATGGGGGCAAAAAATTGGTAGATTTTGAAATAATATTTTATCCAGATGATACAACGGCTCTAAGTGTGCTTTAGCTCTGCCCTAAATGCCTGACAGCTGCCTTGAAATGTCTTCTCATCTTTAAACACACTGAAGTATTCTGTCAGAAGTTTGTGTTTGTGTTGTTAATATTTCTGTCTGATGGTTTGTGAAGGAATGGGGCTGAAGTATTTTCATAAGCAAAGCCTATTATCCATTGTAATTATTGGATTACGATATTGTTAGTCAAGCATGCCCATGTTTAGTATTTCACTTGACTTAACACTGTAAACGATTGACCAAAGTGGGGCTACTTTGTTGATGAGTTATTATTTATAGTTACAAAATGCTGAATCATCCATATCTGTATTAACGAGAGACGCAACAAACAAAGTAAGCAACATGACAATGATTGATTATCTGAGTAATGGGGACTGGATTGGAAGAATAATGAGTATTCAAAGCACTAGCAGAAAGAAATTCAGCCGAGCCAGACGCTGCTTCTTGTTCAAAATGAGAACCGTCTGTATCCCAGGCAGAAGTCAGTCCCAGGCAGAAGTCAGTCCTAGACCGCGTGGCCTCGACCCTCGTTCTACAGCCTGAGTCTTGGATCTATCTATAGTCTGTTCATTCGTGGGAGAATGATTGTAGGCCTTCCTGAAGTTTCTCACTTTTTTCCACTGGGTTTTTTTAGTTGTTTCTTGCTAAAGCAGTAGGGTGGACAGTAGTGATGACATTTCAATTTGGAGAGACGAGAAACAGGAAGTTGAGTATTTTATGAAAGGAGGTTTGGCGCCCTAGGTCCCGGTGCGGCCTTCGGATCGGAAAGGCTCCTGCGATGAGCGCGCACAATCCCCCGGAACCTAGGCACTGGTGGCGGCATTTGGCAGCGGGAAGAAAATTGAAGGCAGGTTGGAGGCAGGGTGAAGAGGAGGAGGAGGGGAGGCGGTGGTTGCGAGGCTTCAGGAGGCCGGTAGTGGGAGTTGCTCCGTTTTTATGCGGCTGCGAGTCGGTACAGATGATTGGAAGGGGGCGTCTGCTGAGCGATAGGCTGGGGATGAGAGCCGGCCTGGAGGGGGTAAATTTGGTTAACGTCTACCAAATTGAATTTTCGCGGGCTGCATTTCAATTTGGAGAGACGAGAAACAGGAAGTTGAGTATTTTATGAAAGGAGGTTTGGCGCCCTAGGTCCCGGTGTGGCCTTCGGATCGGAAAGGCTCCTGCGATGAGCGCGCACAATCCCCAAAAAGGCTGCGTGTTGATGGAGTTTTCGAAGCCTGGTTTGGAGGGGACAGACGTCGTGACTACTCTATTCTGTGACCGCTATCGCTAAGCTGTGACCGCTATCGCTATGCTGTGACCGCTATCGCTATATGCTGTGACCGCTATCGCTATATGCTGTGACCCCTATCGCTATATGCTGTGACCGCTATCGCTATATGCTGTGACCGCTATCGCTATATGCTGTGACCGCTATCGCTATATGCTGTGACCGCTATCGCTATATGCTGTGACCGCTATCGCTATATGCTGTGACCGCTATCGCTATATGCTGTGACCGCTATCGCTATATGCTGTGACCGCTATCTACTGTGATCAATACTTGCGGATACTCTGCTGCTGGCGGCGCCTATCCGGAAGGAGTGAGCTGCGTAGAGATGGGGAGACAGGTTACAAAGCAGCAGTACGGACTTTAGTTGGGCTCTGAACCCGTTGGATGACGTTGGGAGGTGATCGGGGGTGAGAAATACCGGTCCGTTGAGATCTCCTTTCCGAGAGCGGAGACGAGTGTAATGCATCGTGGGTTATTTTTGCGCGCTGGGAACGTGAGCGTTCGCATCACGTTCCGTCAGACGCTGCGGCAGCGGAGAGTGTTTGAGAAGTGCGTGCCGCCACCAGAATCTTATTGCTTCACTTACTTTGCTTCGTATTGCTTTGCTGGGAGCTTGCGATGAAGCCAGTAGGCGTTGTGCAGCCAGGATGGCGGACGCGTCTGGGCTGATGTAGGCGGAGAAAGCCGAAGAGGACCAGCACCCCAGCTGTTGGAGAGGTGGGGGAGCCCCAGCGAGGCCGCGCGCGTGGCAGCGCCTATCCTGAAGGAGTGGGCTGTATAGAGCTGGGGAGACAAATTGCAGAGGAGCAGTAGGGATCTTAGTTGAGCTCTGAACCAGGTTGCTGTCATGGGAAGGTTGTCTGGAGAGAGATGTGTCGGAGCGAGCTATTATTATGTTGCAGGCGCCTTGGTCTTTGAATGTTTGAGATGAAGGTTGAAAGGGTCAGGGGACATTATGTTGGGTGAAAAAGAGCGACCTTTGTGTGATGCTTCCACTACGTCGAGATTATCGCGCATGACAGAGATCCTCTTTCTCTGCCACGTGTGATTCCACGGCGCGCAGGCCACGACCACTGGGAATATCTCGTGTAGGGCAGAGGAGATGCTCTGGTGGAAGTAGCGGCCACGGCCCGGCAACCCAATGGTCCTGGAAGAACCCCCAAAACCCACGGAAGGGGCACGTCCGTGTAGAAGCGGAGACCTGTAGGGGCAGAGACATGTCGGAGAGGGCCATTGATGTTGCAGGCGCCCTTACGCTTAGAATCTTGGGTCGGAGAGTAGATAATCAGGATAGTAGGATGGCCGGGAAGCCGCCTCTCGGACTGCATGAAGGTTGAGCGAGCAGTAGTGGACGCTTATGCAGAGAAGTCATAGAAGGCGAGCAGGAAGATGCTGCGAGGAGGGCAGACATGTACTTGGAAGACGAGCCAGAGTTCAGTGCCGCTCAGAGCCGCTGCAGGATGGGCAGCACGATGGGGGAGCCTGCGATCAGAAGAGTGAAGAATACAGGTATGGATGCCTTTGATTAGGAGTCCGATTGATGGCTCAGCGCAGCTACTCGGCCGGCTGCATCTGATAGAATCA